GACGAGATCTCCCATTCGAACGCTGTGGAACACTTGTTGAACCATTTGTTACGACTTCGGTCGGATGCTCTTACACGCGGCTCCGGCAGTCACTTCAAAGGATTGAAATACCTAAGCTGGGGCGTGTTCGAGCGTCGAGGAGCCAGCATTCGAAAGCCAAGGCAGCTCTGGAACGAGAGCGAGATCAGGACTCCCGCTCGCTTGTATAAACTCGGGCGAGGATCAACTGCGAGGCAAGGCGAGCCGTTTGCCGGAAGGATGAGGTGCGTCGACAGAGTCCTTGCTGAAGCCATACTCCAAAGCTCGTTCGAAATCTCTTCCTGCGCGGCTCTCCTCATCTTTTTCAAGTTTCCCTCCCTAGAGAGTTCCTCTCCCGGAAGCGAGCACGGCGACTTGTATTTCGTGTTGACACAAAAGAGAGAATGAAATAAATTTAATGAGATGGCATTCTCGAGAAGCTCAGGAAGAGGGTCGCAGGAAGAAACTTTTGGAACTAAGGACGACCGTCGAGGTGCGAGGTCGTGTGTCTCCTCCCGCGAATCTCTCGCTATCTGGATACGGGAGGAGAATGGCAAGCCAAGTTCAAGATATGTTCCCCCGATGGAGAACATGTCTCCCGGTGTCGGAGGTTCCGGCGTCGAGATCTCCTTCGGAAAACTTTCCAATCTTTCGGAAGTCATCCGAGACCTCTAGTAGTTTTCGCTGCGATCCAGTAAAACTCGCTCGACTAATTTCATGTCCTTGAGTCATCTCGTCGACTCATATACCCATCAGCGTACCTAAATATCACTCAATTAATGCGTGTAGATTTCAGCTTTCAGCTTCTGGCTTTCCTCCTAACGGCCCAACACGAGTACGTCATCGAGGTTAAGAAGTTGGCATCATCACAGAGAAATGCAGATGTCAGCTGGGAGCATATGCATCGGTTCTGGCCCACGGTCAGCTCCACGGACGCTCTAACGGAGTGAATCACGGTGACCTCTCCGCGAACCTCGACGTAGAAGCCTACCGGAAGCTCTCCCCCAGACGAGAACGTCTATTTCGCGGCGCACGATGAGGCACAGGATCGGCGCGGAGGCGAAAACCTGGCTGAGCTCTCGAGCAGCCGCGGATTTCGACTTGAACTTGCGGGGATTACTTCTCTTTCGGGGGATCGTGCCTCATTCATGTTCCGGTGTTCCGTTGGATTCGATATTGGAAGGTACCCATATTCTAGCCTCTAACTCCCCATATTCTAAGTAATCTAAGGGGCACCGTTTCGTGTTGTCATGCCGGACAGAACCTTCCGCATCGCTCCTCGTCGATGAACCGGGAGAGAGGAGAGATGGAACTCAGCTCCGAACGCATAGGAGATAGGCTCGGTGCGATGTTCGCGATACAAGGTGTTGTCTGGTTCATGAGTCACCAGACCCCAACGCTCCTGGAAGGCACGCGGTTCGAGGGCTAATGAGGACAATAGATCGGTTCCCCTGCGAAAAGGCTGCCGCCGCCGAAAATGAATGTGCACCAGGATGAGTATGTTCAACAAGATATAAGCAGGTCCCGCTCCTATGGCATTGACGCAGCCAGACTCTAGGATGCGGGACGCGAGCCGAAGGCCCCCGCAGCGGGTTTGGGCCTTATATTCTCCCATTCCCACCGCTGCCGCTTCTCCTCGGGTTTCCGTATGGCGAATGGTTAAAGCAGCACCCAGTGTCTCGAGTCTCCGCGGCATGAGCGCCTGGAACATGAGTATGACTGAAGCTCAGATTTGTAGCCCGACTCCACTGACGAAGTGCGAAGGAAATATTCGAAGAATTTCTCGGGTCCCTCACCGAGTACGCAAGGTATTGAAAACGTCTCAGCATCTCAAGGCAACAGGAACCCACAGAATGTCTTACGTAGAAGTCGGCATGAAACGCCGCGCCGTTGAGGGGGAACGAGCATGTTCGCTTATAAGGTTCTATGACGATCGGGGAACGAAACCTGTCGGAGCGGATACAATACTAAGCAATCGACGAGACTCCCTATGTTGCGGGGAGCTCCCTGAAATTCGGCACCAAAATCAGGGTTTGACAATGATCTTCGACTACAACTCACCCCCGGAATCATCATTCCGAGGTGAGTGACCTAACTCACGATTCTCCCCATCTCGAGTACATTCGTGGCAGGATCTGAACCGTTCGCTTTATTCACGATTAGCTAATCATATATACGGAAGGATTTTTTGGAACATCTAGTGCGTCGCAGAGCGTACAAAGCGAGTTCTCCGAAGCGGAATCTCTGTGAACTGCTAGCTCTGTTCGTCTCACAGACGTTTCTCCATCCCTTTGCGCGTCTCCTACCGGGGGCTCCCTGCCGGGATAGACGGCCGCAATCCCGCGAAGGAATTCGGAAGACAAGTGAGTGTTAGCTGGGCCGCTATCTCACCGACGGACCTAATTCAATGATCTCCAATCCGATGCAAAGCTTCTCATCTCCTTTCCGCATTCCGATCTCCGGCATCGCATGCCTCGGTAAGAAGAGCTCAACCGCCTAAACCAACAATGAGGGAGCCGCGGTGGCCCTCACAGCTCAGCGGAACAGTTGCGGAAGCAGACCTCCGAATACATCATTGCCTGATCGTTTACCCCATCATTCGAGGGAGTCCCGATCCGCACGACCGCTCATATCTGTGTGAGTTCCCTACCGCGGGTGATCGCACATTATTTATCCGTCAGTTAGATTTGAGCCTCCTGCTCTTCATCTACAGGCCAGTGCATCTCATACCTCGTTATCGGAATCAGTCCCCTGAAGATGACAACTTGTATAGAGATACACACATGTTTTAGATACACATTCTCGAGAAGCACATACGGGATGAACGAATCCCCGACGGAAGATCGAGCGTGACCACTCCATACCGAGTCCTGTTCATCAATTTCTACTTCGATGACTGCAGAATCGTTTTCCCCGATCAGAGCGTCAAGAAGTGCCGGTGGCAACGTTCGGTCATTTCATTCGAAGAGATGTGAGGCCGAGCTTGGCAAAAAACAGACTTCCGATTGCGCAAGTGATTTTCATGTGAACGATCAGAGATTTCCTGGAAGCTTCGATCTCTGGCTTCTTATTTTCTGCGTTTCTAGTCAGAGCTCACCATTTCCTACAGCAAGTCTCTACAGCGCAACAATGGTCGGAGAGCTCCAATCTTTGCAGCTTGGGATCATAGCGCATTTGGTCACAGAGCGTCACGTACTACCGCCTTCTAGCCACAGCCTGGATTGTTCTCCCCGATGGATTTTGCAATCGTGCGCACAAAAAAATGTAATACGCCCCTCCGACTACGGCGATGGCCATCAGCAAGAATTTTTGCCCTCTTTCGTCCCTCCTCCTCGATACTCCCGGTCCTGACCGAACCCCCCCAAGCTCTCAACTAACGATTGGACCCATGGGCTTATTTGCCTTTGAAATTTCTATTGCGTCACAGTCACTGAGGCAATTCCATGCAACGACAATATGTACATACGACGTCTCAAGGTGCGCCTTCCTGTATGCAGAACAGCTCACCAAATAGACAGGAAGGAGCTCCGAGGACGGACCACGCTCGCGGGCCTACATTGTCATGGTCTTGAATCAATGGCCTAAAGGCACAATCGTGAGCTAGCTAGGCAAAAACTCCTGGTAAAGGGGGAAGGAGCAGCAGGTCATCGCTGGCCCGCCAGATCGAACAGTCTGTCGTGGTCAGAGGTCACAAATGATCGCGGTCATGAGATATCGACTCTTCACAAGCTGATCCGGGATCTAACGCCGTGCGAGCATAGAGTCTGCCCTGAAGGTCGGATTCAAGACGAAAAATCTGATTTCCGACGGTGATTGTTCGACTCAAAACCGGAGATCTCATTCTCCGCTCGCGGATCGATTTTCTCGAGCGTGTGCCATAGGGTTCACACCAAGTCTATTCTGCATAATTACAAAGACTGGATATGCGATTTCCCGCAATCAGATATGGGTTATCTGATGACGATCAATGATGGATTACATAGCTAGGTAATTCTGTGGATCAAGTAGGAGAATTGCGAACTCATTTGAGACTACGTACATTACACGAATGATTTTGCGAGCCAAGCAGCGATTGCGCCTTGTGGTCAGCATTGCAAAATTAAGTGGGTATTTCTGGATTAGGCTTAATCATTCGAGTCTACGTCTGTTCCGTCGGGCGAGAGATAGTCTCGTCCGTCGTAACTAGAAGAGACCCTTCCCCGTACAGCTGGGATCGATGGGAGTAGCTTCTTATCCATGGGGCTGAAAAGACTATGGTATTCGGAGCACGATTTCGCCGACGATCATTACGGAACGCCGAATATCTCGCTGCGGGTGATTAGCCCGAAATACCTGAGGAGTTTGATATTTAGCGGAAGGATCCCCCGATGACATCAGTGGTGGAACCCCTGTCTAACCATCCGAGCTCGAAATCCCTAATCTCTAGGCCTCGCATCCGGATGAAGAAATTCGGCTTCGCGTCGCGTGGGACGGATTGTATACTCATTTGGCAGGTTCCGAGTCCAAACACGGAGTCCTCCGTGTAATAAAAAATGAATGAGCTGCTGCTACCGATCCGGAACGATCGATGAGACGTCGGAGCGGTTGAGCTCCACCCAAAGGGTCGCTCTCAGTCCGTCGCAGCAGGAGAGCTCGAGTGGAAGACACTCGTGAAAGAGGAAAGGAGGAAAGTACACACGGAAGAACAACTTGGCAACTTTCTCAATAGCTCTTTTGCGCGGCTGCAGGTGGCGTAGCTATAGGCGAGCCATCAAACAACGACGGGATGGCTTATGGTCGCGGGAGAGCTCTCCAGCGAGCGAGCGCCTGCGGTCAACGTCAACGACGGCGCGGCGGCTGCAGTCACTTGAGCGAACAAAGCTTTGCCCAAAACACAGGCCAAAACAGCAAAATCATCGACGGACGGAGGCTTCGACTAGCGCCATTAGAGCTTCTTTGCTCCGCCGTAACCCAGCGTGCCTGCCTGCTCACCGTTCTTTCTACTTCTGTCGGAAGCAATACCGTTGTGTTTCGTTTGTTCCGTGCCGATTACTCGACAAGTGCTTCCGAATTCTCTCAGACGAGGCGATTTTGAAAATGAGACCGAAGAAAACATTAGTGCTTTCCCTTCTATTCCTGGGGACTTGTGTGGTGGACTCGAACCCGCTTGATGGTGAGCAGGCTTTTCCCGCGATATTTTTCCCGGAGACTCATTCTGCCCTCCGCGAAATTCGAATATCTGAATCATTTCCATCAGTTTTGATTCTCCAAGCGTCTTCATTCTGATCTCAGACTGCGGAACATGAGAAATCGAGCTTGTGCCCGAGCTCGGATGGATTTTATTCGCGCTTGACTCCGAGTTTGTACTTGGCCTTGATTCCTGCCCTGTGACTTGTTTTCTCCCGGAACAAGTTCCCGGCAGGGACCAGTAGCTTCAAAGTCCTTGACGTCTCTGACCGAGCCATAATTCTCTATTCACTTCGTAATTAAACTAATCTAGTACACGGCGGAGGAATAGGGGGACCAGAACGTCGGAGAGCAGAGCTAGTCGATGATTCATGGGGGACTGCGGACAGAGCTGACCGCTGAACAAGGAGCGCACCATATCGGCAGCGTCAAAGGACCGGAGGACCTAGACTGAAGGACACACGTGCGAGGAACAGGAAACATCTCTATCAGATTAGATGCCGTATCCACATCGTAGCTCCAAGTCATAGCAAATCAATCGTATCACTTCGAACGGGTGACTAAAGAGCTGGCGCATGCCATATCAACTCATAGAGCATGAGCGAGAAAACTTAAACAATGAGCGTATCGGGAGGATACGCAGCCCACAACAAGATCATCGGGTTACCCAAGAACTGGCCCGAGTAGGGCTAGGGCAGAGGATCGCTTATAGGCCCTGTAACCGTAATGAACCTAGGGCTTTAACATCGTCGTCCATAATGGTTACAAGTCACAAGTCACAAGCCTTAGTCTCGCATGGGAGGCCATGGCTGGTTTTCTCAAAAACAGGAAGCCCACCACCTTATTTCCCTGAAGTGCCCCAAAACCGGTACGTTTCTCCAGTCTGACAGGGGTACACAGCTAGCCTTCCGGTGAGCCATGCCGGTCACGGGATCCTCTGCGAAAGTCGCGTGGAAGAATTTCTCATTGATGCTTGCCAGATATCTGCTCCAAGTAAGCCGAGCGGATAAATGGTACTAAGGGCACAATCGAGGTTATTCAACCGAGGAGGACTCCGAGCGACAACCTTCATGTCACAAACCCACGGGAATTCCGATCCAAGATATCGATCGCCCTGAAAACAAAGAGATGCGCGAAGAATCAGCGAGGGCTCCCGTCTCGCCGGCTTTCATTCGCTAATTTGTATCGGTCGGCTTCCAAATGCACTGAGCTTCTCACCAAACGATTCAGACGGTAGGGAAAAAAACGATGAGAAAATACAGGAATCGGAATCGACGACGCTGGCTCGGCTCGATGGACTGCCTTTGATCGGACATCAGTGAGGGAATTGAGCCCCCCTCAGCGTGGATCTCGTCCTGCGCAGTCGCTGGATTCTCAGTTGGCTGAAGGAGACCCCGGGGATCCACAAGGGGGAGCATCGTGTAGAAAAGGTGCTCAGAATCTTCTCGCTTCATCTGGTGCTCCCTGAGCATCCTGAAGTATTTCTGATTCCGCACAGGTCCCTCAGTGAGCGAAAAATCCCAGCTCTATCCGGTTTCAAACGCTGCGCGCCGTGCTCCGATAGCATCGGGAAGTATCCTCCATATATGGACGTTTCCGTCTATAAATGCTGTCGCTTTTGCTTGCTTGTTGTTCCTATGAACGAGAGATCAAGAGAACGCTATTTTCTTATCGGATCGTGAAGCTCCTGAGTGGCGGAGTAGATTTGACGTCCAAGGCATACGCAACTCTGGTAGGAGGCTTTCTAGGCCGGTCTGTCGTAAAACTAGATACCTTGAGATACGATGAGGGCGTAACTAAATCGCTACTGAACGCAGGATCGCTGCAGCATCTGATCGAGAGAAGGAGGGCTCCCTTGCTCGAAGCTGACTTCCTCATGGCTGAGAAACTCGTCGCAGCCAACTGCACGCCATCGTCTATCAACGATTTTCCACCGGTCAGTGTCAGATTTTCGATTTAATCATCTTGAGTGCGATCGTATTAGGGCCTGAGTCATCAGCTATCCGGAAGCGCGGCTGCTTGCTTACAGTGATGGGTCGATAGGTTCTTGAGGAGCAACGATGAGGAAGTCCAATGCTACCGCGTGCCGCGCTCCACGGTGCCGCCCACAATGTTCTCAGTTCACGGATTCGCTCAAATCGATCCGCCAAATAAAGAATTGTACATTTCAACAATTCCAGGATTTGTTCACTCAAGAAGAGAGAATGTCGGGTGCTATCGCTATTCACGTCGTGGTTATCCTCTACATGTGCGGTGTAATGGGAATCGTTTGCGACCGATACTTCGTGCCGAGCCTCGAGATCATAAGCGACTGTAAGCCTTTCGACCTCAAAAGACAACAACCGGAACAAATTCTGATCGAAGCAGTCCGGAGTCTACCCGGGATGGGGTCTTCTTCCCCCGTGGAAAACCTGTCTTGGAAACAATAGTTCCGGCCGAATACCTGCCAATGGTGGCTCTTTCGCGATTCGTCTAAGAGTTTCTCGCTTTGAAGATTGTGGACTTCCCTCCGATGTTGCTGGCGCAACATTCATGGCTATGGGAACGTCGGCGCCGGAGCTTTTTTCGTCCGTGATTGGATCGTTCATCACGGAGGGCGATATTGGAGTGGGTGAGTGGAGTGAGTGCTCGGGAGCAACTCGAGACGACCGATACATTCACTTGCGCTCACATAAATTTGCATGCGAAACATCAGCTCAACGGAGCAAGCAAAATTACGACGACAGCTCCTTGAGCGCTCCTGCCGCGATCTCTGGCTACCGTTCGATCCTTCCGGAATCTACATCGATCCGGGAGGGTCTTCCCTCGACGTGAATTGCGACGCCGCGCCGGCTGATGATTGACAGCACAATTCGAAATCGTACAAGTATTAAGTATTGCAACGACTGATAATATTCATTTTCTTTCGAGGCACGATTGTCGGGTCTGCTGTATTCAACATTCTGGGAGTCACCGCTCTGATCGGCTTGGCCGTGGGCCGAGAGGTAAATTACTGTTCTGCAGGCGTCAAAGTGAAGTTGAAATCGCGTGCGAGAGGGGGAGCAGTCCTCTCGGCTCCTATTCGTCGCTGACGCGTATAGAGGGAGCACCAAGATCCTACCTCAACCCGCGCTCAGGTTCTGCGCTGATCTCCGAGAGTCCCAATGGCCGATAACTTAGTGTGAACGAATTATGTCTCCGCAGAGTCTGAAAATCGACTGGTTCCCGATCAGTCGTGACTGCATCGCCTACGTTCTGACCGTAGTTCTGCTCATAGTTGTCATATCTGATAGCTTCGTCACGTGGTGAGTTACGAAGGATCTCGTCAAAGCTCAAGACTCAGAGTCGTATGATTTTAGACTGGTTGGATGAAAACGGGAGCCGGCTGATATTCCGGCTTCGACTCCCCCTTTGAAGGTATGAGGCTTGCATCCTTCTGCTGTTCTATGCGCTGTACGTCACGGCCATGATATTCAACTCGAAAATTGAACGCTTCTCGCATCTGACTGTGAGTGTGACTAGATAGAATTCAGATCCCAAACTCTCATCAGTGTAGATGGTGAAACTTAGCTTTCAAGGCAATTACGTTTGCGATGAAATCGCAGGTACTGCCGCCAAGCTCCTCAATTCCCTGACAGGCATGCCTCCTCCGTAGCTCGATGCGTTTGTGTAGTCTGCAAGTCCGCTAGAATTGTCTACCGTATCAAGCGATGTGTGGTGTATCGTGGCTTCCGCTCAATATCTCAACTCAGGCACTCTTCGTGTGCTCGAGCCCTCCTCGGAGCCTGTTGGAGCAGTTCACGGTATCCCATGGCACCAATCTCCTCCGATGAGCATTTGAACTACTCTCTAGGAGGCTCCGAGGTACTGCCGAAAAAAGGAGCTCACCGCGAGAATCGGTCCCACATGATTCTTCCAGAAAACTTCACTCATTTATCCTTGCAGGTTCAACGTTTCACTGCGAGCAATGGCGAAAAGCGTCCTCTCATTGACAAACAGCCCTCAGTTTCTGATGCCGACGACGACGATCTCCCAGAGGCGATCTTCGAAGTACCCAAGGGAGGTTTCTTCGCTGTCGCGCTCTGGTTGATTTTCCTCCCGGCAAACATTGTCCTAGCATGCACGATTCCGGATTTGAGCGGCCGCAGAAAGTGAGCATGCTCTCGAGATCTTCAGTGTACTCCCCAGCTATTGGGTGCCGCCATGACATTCGGGAAGACCAAAAATTTTCCTCTAGAAACGAGCTGAGCAATTCAACTTGGGAAAACTTCCTGCCCTTATGCGGGGAGAGTCTGTTCCTCAAGCCCTGTGTAGAAACATCTCACAATCAGTGGCGTGCTCAAGGGGGGGGGGCGCGATAGCCTAAGTTTCATGCTACCTCGGTCGACTTTTGGAGCGGCATCCTTCGATTTGCTCCTCATTTATGTATTTTTTCGTTCGGCAAAAGTACTTGCCCCCTCCCCCCGATGGAAGATCCTGGGCACGCCCCTGCTCACAATGAGTCATTGAAAATCGAATCACATCTATGGCTCAGCTCTCTCTATCTCTCATTCCCGGAGACGATGCTCGGATCTGTGGTCCACCGCTCTCGAATACAATTTCGATGAAGGAAACTCCCATCGAAGTCAAAGTGTTTCGAAGGTTATCGTGGAACCTTCGCGCAACTTCTGCGATTGGCGTAGGAGCACTGCGGAAGACTAGCTCGGTCTCAGGACGACATTTCCCGGTCAGATTCGTCAAGAATCCGCACGAAAGGTTTTTAGGGATGATGAGAATCCTGTAGATGAGGAGGAGATGTCATCTTCGCGGCAGATGAGCGGACGAAAAATCGTTCGCCGTTGGCTGTGCGGTGTATCCCGAATGGGAGAACTCCATAGGATCTTGCTTCCTCACCTCAGTGAAGGAGCGGGGAGACAGGAGGATGAGGTTCATATTCGAGCACAAAAAGATGTGAATTCCGTTATGTGAGGCTGATTCGCTTGTACGGTATGCCCGGCATACTGGTCTGGAGCTCAATATCGAGAAATCAAGTACGGGACTCTGGGATCAGGACCCGCAGACAGGAGTCGGAGATCGAGACTCGTTGACAGGAGCTCGGGAGCGAGAATTCTCAATGATTATCTGATCTCTTGAAGGTTCCTCTTCCCTCTGACCTTCATCTTATCCATCATATGGATAGGTCTGAGTTCCTACGTCACGGTCTGGATGGTGACAGTCGCTGGCTATACACTAGGAATACCGGACTCGATCATGGGCTTGACCGTCCTCGCCGCCGGAACAAGCGTACCCGAGGTGAGTTCCCGATTAGAGCAGTCAACCCTTGGCAGAATCCGGGGAGGAACGATCGCCATTGCATGATTAGATCAATCAGCGGAAGTCTGTCAACGAGAGGGAAGTGAGATGTCGGTGCCGACAAGCGGGTAGACTTCTGGAGAAAAATACTACGATTGAGCGTATCTGATTCTATTGAAGAATTTTCAACCTCAGGTATTCTCGTCCGTCCTCGTGGCTAGAAGAGGCAAAGGCAACATGGCCTTGTGTAATCTCTTAGGCTCGAATATCTTCGATATCTTGTTCTGCCTCGGGGCTCCTTGGTTGGTCAAAACGGCGTATTCGGCGAGGTGAGCTTCGTACGCGAACAAGCTAAGAGCATCAGCCTCCCCTGCTCGATGGGGAAAATGGCAGACCCGGTTTAATTGTCTCTACTCTTACCCAGAAATGTGTGGATCCAGAGTCCAGCGTTGACGTACACGGGAATCACGCTCCTGATGACTGTCGTGATGCTTTTCCTGACCTTGATAGTTATGAGATGGAAGGTACAGAATTTTCGATATTTTGGTTCTCCTTTGATTCTCGGTCCCGAGAGCAGGCTTTGTTTTTCTCCATCCCAATCCGACTCGGACACCCACCTGACACCATGTTTTTATTTCCAGGTCAACTACAAAACCGGAATAATTTGTACATTCCTCTACGGAGGCTTCTTGACCATGGCTGTGCTCTACGAGTTCCTCATGTTCGGTATCAGCAACCCTTGCTAAGAATCCGGGAAATGAATCTGTGATAGAAGACTTATGAGACATTTCAGAGTGATAAGATGCGGATCAGAAATCAGGCTCCGAGAGAGGAGCTTTACGAGGATGACTCGACAGAGTGGGTTAGAGGAGCTTTCTGTGGAGTCGAGACTCAGGGAATGCCTTCGGAATACTGCCCCTGAACAGTCCTAATGATTCGTGTTTTTATTCTCAGTCGATAGTAGGAGGTTATATCTGGCCTAGCTACTTAGAATCGGAAGAGATCGATTTATCCTGATGCAAACACTTTGGTTTATTTTGAACCAGGGAAACGCTGTCAACGATCCGTCGACTTATGGCTCGATTACTCGGTAGGTCGATCCGGAATCTTCGAGTTCCAAGCGGAGGTGACTAATCTGGACCACGAGAGACCCGAATCGACACCGAATAGTTTTCGCTGAGTATTTCTAGACTAGCAAAAGCAGTTCGGCTCGAGAGCGTGATCGAATTCTCGTCGCTACAAGCTCGAGAACAACGCTGCCTCCTCCAGGGGAGTAAATATCGGAAGAAATAATCCAAATCAACCGCCGGCTGTGTGAGTAGAGAGAATCCACGCGAAGAATTGCGTCGTCACGTGAAGCATCGTGCATGGGTTCTCAGAGTGGTGACCGGCAGCAGTGGAGCACTCAATCTCTCCTGAAGATTGTCTTGCTAGAATTCCGAATAACGCGACATTATCTCCGTCCACCCACTCCCTCGACCGTTTTTCCCCGAAATAAGCCCGTCAGTCACGTCAGATATAAAGCTCCACGCATTGATTTTCTGCTTACTACGGGCGATGGATGTCTCCGCATTTCCTCGAACGTTTCTCTGTTGATTACTAAAGCCGCCGTCCGTTCGATTCTCGACCGTCGTATTTGTCGTACTCCTCCCTTATGGCACGTCTTCGCCGTGTTCATCCCGTACGGACGTGTGAGCATCGAACACACATCGGAGGACACTGAATGAGTGGTGGAGAGCTCCGATCGAAAAACTCGCGCACATCTATCCCTCATCCTCTTCGGACTCCTGTCGCCGATGGGGAGGTGACAAGACCAATAATTGATCTTACATTGCATCACAACGAATGAATAGAGTATTCCTCTATGTACTTCACTTAAATCATCATAAGCAAGGTTCGCCCTCGGGCTCTGTTTTTCTCTTTTTTTTCTCCCGTCGAATATCCTGTCTAGAGCATCCTCGTCGAAACACCGTCGTTCACTAGCACCGATCTGAGGAGGGAAATTATCGACGCCTCTCCTCTTCCGAGACCCAGAAACGTTTCCCCCGCGCACCGACGAACCCTGGTGCTCCCCCGGCCTTTTTACCACGAGCTCCTGCAACAAAAGTTCCTTTGTATTAAAATCGGGATTCGCGCATGCGTGATGGGAACGGCATCCCGGAATCGTAATGAAAAAATTTCAATTGGAATCTTTCTCGCGAACAACGCTGTCGTCGTTGAGTACGACATCGGCGTGAAAAATGAAGAACAAGTTCGCATTGTTCTCGGCAAACTCGCATAAATCTCGGGCTCAAAGCCCTTCTAAACGAAGGCGAAAGCAAACGAGGCGTTCCGATATGTAGTTTCTACTCACCGACGAAGCCCGGGGCAAGACCTCCTGAGCGCTTGCCCCCTACATAGAGAGGGTCCTGATAGAGATAACGGCCCTGTTGGTTCTCAAGCATCCTCGTGAGGATGTTGACAAGGTTCGCTTGCTGAAATTGAAAGCAAGCATGAATTGCAGCAGAATTTTCGCTCGATCGCTCGGTCGAGTGGACTGCTACAGTCTGTGATCTCATTCGGAACTATGTGCGCCGTGTGTTATCTAACTGATGAACGGCGATTGAAAAGCTCTTCCGGATCCCCATCCCCAGATGCGTCAGAGCTATCAGGCTCGAGGCGGCAGAGGAATTCTCTAACCTATGTATATAGGATGAGCTCTCGATCGATTTGACATATCGGGCGGAGAGGCGTGTCCCAGGCACCGAAATTCACTCCGAAGGTCGAGAAGCGGTGGAATTGATCCTAGAACTCAGGACGTCGCGGACTCGTCTGCCATGGAAAGATCACCAAGTATCCAACAACGAAGACGTAAACACTTGGGACCGAGCTCAGACCGGCAGAATTGCCCCCCACGTCGTCGATGATGGATCGTCACCTCGAGGTCGTGGTGAATGTCAGGAATCGTTAGTGAATCGACATCTGGATCCCGATTGGATCAGCTTTCCTCCGGAAACGAAAATTTCCGACCAGGAACAGATTCCCCAAAACCCCTAGAAGGAGGTGCAACCTTGACATTCAAGTGCATCTTTCCGACTCTTAGGAACGACACCGGAGCTCATTGTGCGAGACGTTTCGAGGATGTGTCCCCGACGCAACCGCCGATGCGTCAAACGTTTACTTCGCTAGGGACGCAACCTATCACGGTGCTTTTGTACGACTCCTTCCCACTCTTCATCCTCTCCCGGAGGAAAGTTCTATGCTACGGATCCACGTTCCGGGAGTGAGTGTGCTCCGCCCGAGGGGTCAGGTTTGATTCCACGGGGGATCTAAGGGTTCCCCAGAATATACCTATGCCAAGTGAGGAAGTCGATCTGGAAGGGCGCTCCATCCTGAGAATCACGACTGGCGTCGATGGACGGTGACTTGGAATCTTGTCGTTGGTGCGTCACGTCACTCGACGCATAGGCCGTGTAATAGATCGACTTCCGCGTCACAGAGAACAGGGCGCAGGGCGATTGCTACCGGGGACTCGGGATCGATGCCTCTCTTCCAGACCGAAGACTTCTGTCTGTCCTCTGTCAGGATGATGCCGTGATTAGAGATGACGCATCCATTATCGATTTCCAGAGGAAAACAAAGGATTCATCATGAAGGGAATCAATTCGATCCACGAGCTCAGTGCTCTTGAAGACCAATGACGCCCATATGTCCATCTGTCAAATCCACGTTCTAGACCAGACTTGCTCATAACCATGGCGCTCTTATTTTCCTCGCGATTTGCGGATCTCATCGATTGTCCTCCCGTCGGAAGATAGCGAGCGTCTCGGGTCCCACAAGAGACAGAGAGCAGCCGCATTCGCTTGAATAGCGTCCTAAGGAAACAATAACGGGAACATAGTCATGAACTGTACGGCCTACTCAGGGGTTGAATTTGCATGCTGTATGAAGCGGAGGTTGGCATTATCCTTTGTATCGGGGTCGGGAATTTCCAGTCCCCAAAACTTCCGTTCAGAAGAACCGTGCCGCACCTGGACGCTCTCCCACCGTTGGCGATTGGTGTTTCGGATGTGCTCGAGATAAATTATAGGTAGGGGGCATGACGTTTGTGATAGAAAGTCTCGGAATCGAAAAAGACCAACACGCAGTCTTGACAGCACATTGAAATTCTCGGTTCCCGGCGCGGCTGATTGTGACGTGGAAAACCCGATCCGCTGGATATCCTGCCGGCAAAGTTTACTCTGGCGCTCAATAAATTTCCCTCCGAGCGATGGGCACTCTGACCTCTCTCGAGTTAATGTCAGAGACTCCCAAAAATTGCCGTTCGACCTCTAAAGGGAAGTGAAAGGAAGCGCGAAGTTCATGAGTAACTTTTTAAATGGTGGTCAAGCCCGCGTGAGTTGCTGGTGACCTCCCTTCCCGTGGAGGTACATCACCATCTCTAAGTGAGAGCGGCGCGAGTCTAGGGCATCGGTAACTGAATGAAAAATTCGAGTTCCTCCGACTTTAGGTTTTTCTTGCATCGCGATATACCTTCTAATATCCTCTCTTCTTTCCTGAACCTGCTCAACGATTGCGGACTGCGCGCCGTCATGTGGGACGGAGCTCCGGATCACACCCGCCCCACGGCTGCCGTATCGATAGCTGCATCGAAATATCCGCTAATTACAGTCGGTACATGACAGCGAACTCGCCGAAAACAAAAGCGAACGTTTATGTTTCGATTCATCACGACGCTGGATGCGACACAGTCCTCGGGGGAATAACTTGGATTTCTCCTCCTGATAAGGACATCACATGTGGAATATTTATCCTCAAGAGGAATAATGTCGGTGGCCATGTCGACTCCGCAGTCGAGTGGAAGTTTTCGCAATCGACAGATCGACCGATGGGGTCAAACTCGATCTTTTTGAAAATGCGTTCCGCACCAGAGGTCGAACTGGATTTTTTTCCGCAGTAGTCTCTGAGAGTCGCATGTATTTCCGTGTCGACAGAATGGGTTCACAAAGCGAAAGTTTTCTGCTGTCGCTTCTAAGCCTCATGGTGCAGTTTTGCTCTGCTTGCGAAAACCAAAGATTAAACTCTAAGTGAGATTGAGATGCCGTCGATATCTCCAATCACTATCTCGGAGGAAACCGGAGCACATCAGTCGAGTGCGGTGCGAGGTACGTCCAATACTTCATTCTTAGAGCGCTTATTGAGGTTTTCCTCTCCAATAATTCTCAGAGCCGGCTCTGTGGAGAATTTAGGTGCAGCGAAGAGTTCTGATGAAGGGAAGCATTCATCTGATGTTTTTTCCGGTTTTAATTTGCGCGAAAGCACAGGCCACGGTCCCGAAAATGCCGACCCATGGGTGAAATTCAAAGCGACCGAGACATGGATCTTCCACGGTGGCCAAAAACGGCGTCATCCGATTCCGCCTCTTTAGCCTTTTGCACTCAGCCCCGGGAAAGTTAGAAGCGGCATCGATCACCGAACCGAGTCGTGACTCTTTCCGATTGGATATTAGCTCATTTGGATGAGAAAGTACGAAATTCTCCTATTGGGTGTCGCATTATGCCCCGTTCCAGGATCCCGTTGCTCTTGTCAATATTCAATATATAATAACAATAATATATGATATGCGCGTCTATCGTCCATCATTCTCAAGGGCTTGTGGCGAGACTTGGGGATTGGGATTGCGAATTCGGATGCTCTCTGGGGATGGACCAGGTGAAACGAGCTGGGTCAGCCAAGAGCCTGGCGTCCCATGGAGAAATCCCGATCTCGCGGCCTTTTCGGATGACATCCCCGCATAAGCTAGTGTAATGTCATGGGAAGTACTCAGGAAAACGTCCTCTCTCTTGATAGGGTCTAGGCTCCGAGGAGCTTCGCAGATCGAGATTTGTATGGTGAACGAAGAGGTGAGCTCTCAAGGGGAACAATCACTGCTCCCGGAGCATTGGAATAGAAATGTGATTGATTCCTTCAGGCTCCGGAGGATTTATGGAGGAAACTCGGTAAGGAGGTAGGGGTCAATGAGATTCGAACTCAGTGATTCCACTGTCAGAACTTTTTCCTCAGCAGCTCTTGCACACAGTGAGCTTATCTCTCCGGATCCGTCTCGCTGAATTCGCCGTCGGAATGTAATCCGCTCTCGGAGAATATGCCCGTAGATGGACTTGTGAAATGTTGCAACTATGCGGAATCAATGGAATACGATCCATTGCTCGCCTCACCTACATCTACGATCCGGACCGGGAAGGTCAACTTACTTTTTCGAACCGACGATCCAGGAGGCCTTCAGGATACAGAGGCTCGTCAGCTCGGACGGCTACAACGACCCAAGCAACCGCGATCAATGCTACGAGGAGCGAACAGCGTCGGATGGAAGCGTACGCGGACATGCTGACTGCAGATAACGTGGACGCAATGGGGGACGTCACGGCTTAAATCCAGCTCTTGAGAAAGGGTAGACGCTCGGCACGACCAATGAGGACGCTCTTCGGGGGCGGGTATACGTGCTATGTACGCAAGGCATTACGAATATGGAGAGTGCCAGATGAATTCGAAACTGATAAAACGCCTTCCCCTACAAATTCGGGCATGATCGAGTTCCGTCCCTGCGGCCGTCAGGTCGAAACACAGCGCAAGATCTAAGCCGCGGCTGTCAGTTCGCGAGGGAGGGTATGGTCAGAGAGTCAGAGCATGCTTCTTCGAGCCGAGACGCTGAAATCGCCAATGAAGGTCGAGGTCTCTCCTTCACGATTTTCGATTCCCACGAGAGCCGTCGACAGCGAGATACCGTCGCGAAGAGCCTCACGATTAGCCTAACATTGCCTGGCTCTCTATGTGAGTCCCGAGGAACTTGGGGTATCGTGAGTGGAGAGGAAGCGGGAATCGTTACGGAATTCATCCTCCTTCGTTCTCCTCCCTCCAGTTTTCTCCGTTCCGAGGAGAGTCTCGGTGGCAAGCTCAGTAGGGATATCGGAACCAGGTCGACCAGACGAAGAACGCCACTAGGAGCTCTAAATAAAATTGCGATCGAGCGACATGCACCGGGCACACGTAATCCTCGACGCTAAACAGGGTAAGCCCGCCCACGAATTGGAAACTTCATTCCAGCTCACTGAGATGGCGAATGGGAAACACGGTGTGCGAATTGAGGAGTCATCTTGGTGGGCATCACTTCGAATATTGTATGTAGTCTCAGATTCGGGCCGAATCCTTTCTATCGGCCCCCGGGTTGAGTCGTGTAGCATGTGATCCACGCGCCGCGCCGCTTGATCCGCCGCATAAGGAGGTCGCAGTCCAATCTGTCGAAACGCGAGCTCATTTGAAGGTCAAAAGACGAGAGAAATTGCCAATCGAGCCTTGAAGTTCGAGCGATTCCAGCACAAGACTCCCACGGTCGCGTCAGCTGACAGTTAACCGCAATAAGGTACAATTAGTACGAGTTAACTCGACGAAACGACAGCATTCTCGGCCGCCAAACTTGGCGAATGTCGGGTAGCCGATGAGGAGGCGGGGTAACCAAGGTGATCCCAACTTTTCTCACGAGTTTCTGTCGCGAACGGCACATGCAAGACGTAAGTTCTCCGCATCGCTTGAACGGAAATAGCTCACATGAGTTCCGATCGATGAACTCGTTCGTTCGTGAGCTGTGGCAGTCTCTCGTTTTCCCATAAGTTCCGACACGACGGAATCTATACCGACCGGTACGATGAATTTTTAGCTCCATTCCGAACAAACTGATTGCACTGCTCTACTCGATCCAAGTAGCTTACCTGACTCTATCATCTCATCGCTAGCCGAAAACTCATGGAGGAGCGAGACTCAGATCTGGACTTTCCCCCCCGTCGCGTCGGCTGAATCGTGCCGAAATTAGGGGTTTCGAATCTTCCAATGGAATTTAATTTCTCGTGTCCCTCCTTGGAGGCCGCCATTACGATGGGGTTAAGGATCAGCTTGGAAGATGAGCTCATCAGATGCAGATCTTTCACACTGGAGGGATGGACAGGGAATGAGGAAAAGAATCGTCGAGGAATCATTGGCAGAATCCTGATACGCGGAGTTTTCGTATATATTCCCAAGGTTCAAATCCGCAGAGAGACTACGGACTGGTGCACGCGGATGTCAATATCTGCTGTTAGAGGTGTTCACCGAGAAACGCGGCACAGGGCTCTTCTGGGGGCACGATCCGATTGGGAGGTTCTCTTCATCTATACCAATACTGGTGACTCCATATACCGTCCTCAATTGGGTGATGATCCGTGTAAATGTTGTGTCTCTCCCACGAACTTAGAGGGAATGAGGGTGGAGGTGAAAACCCACGCTGGCAGGCATCTCGACACAGAAGGGCCCGTGTCCTATAATTTCCTGAGGGATCACCGAGGGCAGGAGGGTACATGTGAGTCCCTCGTTGGAAGCAATCGGGGGATCGACTGATGAGAGCCGTTTGGTAGGGTTTCCTCTCAGCGGGAGAAGGTCAGCACTTCAATTCGGAGCGTTGACAATGAGTAGTTGAACACGCCTCCTCCATCCTCATTCGAGCGAGGACAAGTTTAGCTGCTGCTAGAGATGAGAGATCCGAGACATATCCGCTTTTTTTGACGATGCCAGGAACTATCTTTCCGCTCCTTGACTCGACTGACTCTTTTTCCACAATATTGGTCCAATCTTCGAGTCTGATGAATTACATTGCCGTGTGGTAGGCGTCATTCCGTCGTCTGACGCTGGAGTGTCCCTCCCACCGAACTTTTCTTCCCTATTCCCCATTCCGAACGTATTTCAGAAAGAAGCGACTCGTGGGGCAATGTTTGCTGAGCGGTACGGAGAGACGGCCCGGAAAACGATGGTGAAAGAAGGGCATTTCCTCTGGATATGGACGTATTGAGTCCCTGGGCTCCGCTCTTCCCACCCCGCTCCCGTGAAGCCTAACCTCCCCGGAGGGAGGGGGAACTCATCATTATGATCGGGTAACTGGAAATTATCTCACACGTCTCAGGCCAGCAATAATTCAGCCACGTTGAACAGTACGAGTCCGACGCTCGTTCAGAGCTTTGTTGATAATAATCGATAGCTATGCCCGGGAAGTTTCGCACGTCAGACACTTCGGGCAGGGTGCGAACATGCGAGCCTCCTGAACGGAGGCAGGAGTACGATTTCGAGATTTGATCTCTACTCCAGAGAGATTCCCCCGGGCTGGGAGATGGTCCCGGAACTCTCCATCTCTGGACGTTCCGAGCGTCGGCTATTGAGGAAACTCAACCTCACTTGCGCATGACCTAGACGCGCATGCTCTGCGAGAGGGGAAATTTCGAAAGCGGTATCGTTCCTCATGGATTTCAGGGCAAACATTCCCGCCGAGAATGGATCGAGAGGTGCTACCGTTTCCCCATCAATCTAAACCTGTGCTCCTCGACAGAGGGGCAGTGTTGATCGCGGAAAACGAAATCCCTTGGTGGCGGGCAGTATTCCCTAGGTGAATCTTGACTTCGGCCTGGGTACACATGATCCAGTGGGATTCTTCTCGATGCTCTGAGCTTGAATAGATATCCAAGCGGAATTACCGAACGAAGAGTAAAAATGAGATCGGTCTCAGTCAAATATTCGGTGCATCTCACCTCCCTCGGTCCGAGTTCGATCCTTGAGAGGGCTCTCTAGGATTCCCGGGCCGGCACTTCACACAGGCAGTGGACAGTAGAAGCTTGAGGAGACGTCTGTAGAGAAAACCATGAGAAAGCCCTCACAGACAAGATAAGTTGTGAATCAAATATTGCCCGAGCGACTGACCGATTCCGCCATGGGGCATATAATCGCCATCGAGTCCTTCCCGAAGTGAAACTTCGCGATGTATTGAGGAATCACGAATTTCCTTCACAGCGGCAGGCACGCACCTGACGCATCGCTTGGGCATGGACGATGCAAGTGGGGAATTAGGCATTCGGTGCGAGAAATCGGAGAGCGTTCCCGACTGGAGGTACAAAGCATCCCTTATTAACTACCTTAACAGTTTGACCCCTTTGTTGATTTGGGAGAGGAAATCATCGTTGTCCCGCCGGAGACGACTGTCGGTTCTACTGAGAGGTCAAGCGGGCATGATCAAAATCGTTGAGGGTGTCGCGCAAATATTGATCCTAGATGGCTTCGTAGGGCCGGACTGCTCGGAGGTGAATGTGTGGGAACAGGGACCCTTTGTATTTCTTTGGGAGAATGCCTCGCCATACATCTAGGCCGAGAGGTCGGTCGGCGGATGACTGACTGAGCCGCACTCCTAGTCCCTCTCGCATCCTCAGCTTCCAGAACACGCTCCGACTCCTGCCACACTTTCAGCGTTTGATGTAAATTGAGGATATCGCATTGAAGTCGATTCCTTTGGCCATCCGCCCGCTCAAAGATGCTTTTGATGCTCTCACCCTGGAAATACAACTGTCCATGTCCAGTATTTCGGCTCGTTCTGCCCAGGCATACATCAGGCAGGAGGCCCCTTTGCCTCCCAGCCTCCCGTGCCGCCTCGAATCTCTCCCTCGGACTCTCGTCTTCGACCCGGGCTGACGACTGCACTTGATACATCTTTCTGGACATGAAGGACAGATTATTATCAGGGATCGCGCCAGACGCAGCGTTTATTTGACAAACTATCGAGGTTATGCCGTATCGGCAGTGTTCTCCACGAGAGCACGGTCAGCAGATTATCACCACGTCAGCCACCAGGCGACATTAAACTCGAGGGTCTTTCGACTACACCAGCCCGTATAAGCTGGCGGGGACCCCAGTTTCCTAATGGGCTAGCCGTAGCTCCCTGCCGATGTTCCAAGACTTCACAAGCCTCGAAGACTCTTTCAAAGAGCAAGGTCAGACACACCGAGCGAAGTGTCACTTGCAGGAGGTCTCTGACATAGCCGCTTCCTCCGGAATCTCCTGGAGGAAGTCTCAGCATAGTTCCCGCGCACCGATCGCTGACCAATGAAGGAACTGTCGCGGGAAGCTCCACTCATCCTGAATGATCTTCGCGTCGCCTTCCTCTAGAAAATGATGTTCATCACGAGTTCGGAGCTTCCTGCGCCGATTCCTTATGGGAGCCCGAAATGGTTCATCGGATTCGGTGGATTTTTACGGAATGATCGTCGGAGCAAGAAGCAAGCAGCGTTTCCGTGTGTCGGGGACTGAATTCCAGAGCGTTGACCGTGCTGTCGTGGCATCTGATCCGATGGGATCTCTCGACAGTGATCGCATCGTGGCCCAACCCAATATCGTAAGTTTCAATCAGCCCATTGTCGAGACCCGCTGCCAAGAGGACCCTGGAAAGGGGAAGCAAATGATTATCAGAGAAATCAAGCTCAGGTAGAACGGAACGTGTATCATACCTACATCGATATACGAAATCCATTCCTATATCGACGTCTGAGCAGTGCAATGGGTGCCAGAGAGAAAGTGTGGATCAGATTGAAGGTCGCTGGTGAACGATGCGACGGTGGGAATGGGCTTACCGTCCAGTCGTGCTCGGCATCGCTGCGAACGCGAGAGCGGTCACGGAGTCTTCGAGGTCTAGAACGTTTTTCGACACATAGTCGCCCATAAGAGGGTGTTTCGTCTCGGACTTGCCCCAGATTACCACTCGCTTGTCTCGGGAGCACGTTGCGAACACGTTCGACCCGTCGGGTCCGAAAGCACACGACCAGATAATTCTCTGGTGGACGCTACAGGTCTTGTCCACGTAAGCTATCTAAAATTCAGGGTAGAATGAATTGAATAGCCAAGTACTCCCGCTTCCATATCTTGAAACGAAAGCGGAGTCCATACCTTGACAAAGTCGCTCTCGAACTTCTCCCACAACGCCCAAGTTCTATCGCGCGAAACCGTCAGAATCTGTTTCCCGTTCCTGCTGAATGCAATCTTGGTCACCGTCAACTGATGATGCTCGAGCTTTTGAATGATTTTCCAGTCTTTGGGGTCCCAGAGAATGACGGCAGCATGTTTGGCCGACTGAGCTTTGCAGGCAGAGGCGACTACTGAGCCTCCCGGCGACGATGATACGGTGAATAATTCGTATCTGGAATCGATTTCAGTTTCAGAGGAAAATTTTCTGCGATTTTGCTCCGAACTGTGTGAGCTCTCGATTTCTGATATGAGCTATGCTCCCCTGCGGAGATTTCTCTCGTGGGCGGAAAAAATCATCCAGCGACAACTTGGATCTCCATCTGTCCGAACAGCAGGTGGGGTCGGGAATATGGACACGACATACTGGTGAAATGTCTCACCCATGCCCGTAGAGTTTCCGCACTTCATGCCACAATGTGTTCTGAGCCAAGGTTTCCTCCGTCGGAGGCGAGATCAACTCTATCGGTCTGAAGTAAAAGTCCTCTTGGTTGTCCTTCGGATTGCCGCTCTTTTCTTCATCTCTTTGCGATCTCAAGTCGGCCTCATATACGGCTTTATTGGAAAGTCCGAGAGCGGCTACCGAAGCACCCTCTGGCAGTTTGGATATTTCATCTTCTGTCGTGAGATCTGCTTCGGTTAACCTCTTGAAGTTCAGAGCGAAGTTTTTTGTGGCGCTGAAGGCTCGAAGAACTTTCTCCTCGGCTCCTGGAATCGCAAACGGGAATCCGGGTTCGATCTGCTGCTTGACGAAATCAGAGGCTACATGGACTTCCCCGGAGAACCTGGAAAGGCCTGGAATGCCCCATGGGAGAGATCCTCGATCTGAGGATCACCGTTCCTGCGATGCCGTCACTGCACTTACCGGAGACGAAGGAGGTTTCTGTCAGAGATGATATACACGACAGATCATGACCGTGGATTTGCGGTCTCGCGAGCTCCTTCCAAGACCTATGCGATCCCCATTGACCATGTAGTCTCGTCGTCTGGTCGTCAGAGCAGCTGAGTAGGTAACTTCCGCTCGGAGACCAGGACAAGTCTCTTACAGGGCCAAAATGACCCCCAGGAACTTCACAGGGTACCCATTCCTCTTTTCCCTGGACCGCCCGAAAAAGGAAAATTTCCTAAGGTTAATGCTGAGACAGTGGCGGAGTGATCATTGCGTGAATTCAAGAGAGCAAGGCAAGCTACAGCTCACCTCAGATCACATGCTTTCGATCAGCAGGTTTGATCGGAATAACTTACCTCGTCAATCTGAACTCTCCAAAGATGGAAACTGCCGTGGAAGCCACTCGCTAGCACCCGTCTGCCTTCAGGGTCCCAGACTGCCCCGAAAAATCCCAAATTATTTCCCCCGACTCCTCCGACGCGAACTTTGTCGATCCAGACATCGCAGTCGTTCGATAATTCCCAGATGATGATGGACTTGTCGATCGATGCTGATAGCAATCTCAAGGCGCTCGGATGCCATCTGACTGAATAGATCCATCCCGTATGGCCCTCGAGGACTGTCTCTAATTCCGCTTGCAGGTGTCTCCCTGGAATCGATCATCAATTTGAGAATATGATGCTCGTCTCGTGTGTCACGGCCCTCGCCTAATAGCAGTCTCTCAACGAACCTCTGATGTGTAATTCAATTTTCCTGACTTCCAGCTCTTCATCGGTGGCTTCCCCGAAGGTCGATATCCTCCACATCCCAATAAGGTTATCCTGAGCGCAGGTGGCCACAAGAAGATCGCCTGAGTTCAAGAAGAATTTTAGCTTCGAGAGATTCTTGAAGATAGATCCAAGAATCTGGACAGATCCCAATTGGGGCATGCGGACCAGAATCCGACTGAAAAGAAACCATGAATCATCTCGGAACGCTCCTCTAGATAACATCGTAGGTTAGCGGTACCTTGATGCTCCCGGACGTCGATACCGCGGACCCAGTCTTCGTGATTGCAGAGCTTGCAGAGCTCTTGGAAACATCCATCTTCGAAAGCCATGACTTGAACCTCGCAGGATGTCCATCCAATGAATAGCAGAATCGTCCCATAGGCTTTGAATATACGAACGCACAACGGAGTATTACTCCCGTGAGTGACTTGAGAAACCAGCGTAGGCGAGGCTGCGAAAAGGCATGATTGAAAAGTTCGTGAGTGAAGGTCTCGATCACGGCTTCCGACGGAGTCTTCACATAGATGTCTCGAATACGAAAACCCCCATGAGGGGTCAAAATCGAGGGGGTAGGCGCCGACCGAGCCTGAGGCGGAGCACGGAGCGCTCCTATGGGCCTAGATTCTGAAACACTCACCATTATCGACCTTCCAGACACGAACGGTGTCGTCAGCACCACCCGAAATCACCCACGTGACCGCAGCGTCTTCATCGAAGACATCCCCGAACATTTGCGCTCCTGGACATTCTAAAGTTACCTCCGTCGAGCCCTGCGTCAGATTACAAGTGCCGTCTCTGGGAAATCGGAAGATTGAGTTAGTCCATCAATCACGTACATGTTCCACAAGGAAAAGTCCCGAGGTCATTCCCAGTACGACAGTATGAAGTATGATTAATTATTCCACCTGGAACAAGTGAGCAAGCTCCGCTTAGATGAGCTGACAGAGGTGATTTTGTCCTTGTGGCGGATACGCGAGTTCTTCACCAAGCCGTGACCGTCGTTTCCCTGAAACCAGAATCGGGCTTTCCTCGACTAATTCGCAGACATACTCTCTAATGGGCTTTCGTGCCAATTTCTCTTGGATAGCGAGGGCGTCTATTGCGTCCATTGTTAACATGAAGAATATTTAAGGAGCTTAAATTCTCTTGAGCTCGCGTTGCCGATTTTCGATTTTGACCGAACCGCACCAACAGGAAACTTCCTCACCTCAAAATCATACTCGATGAGCGAGTTTGCAGCACCGTAGAAAAGGTTACCATTTTCGGACCACGTAAGACACAAAGGTGTGTTGTTGCAAGCCACTGAGCAGTAGTCGAGTGACGGTGCCATCTCTGGACGAATCGAGTGGGGGAGTCGTCGACTCCCGAAGGCGCGAAGAAAATTTCAGGCCGACAATTTCGAAATGTCGAACCTCGAGACGCGGTGAATCAAGAGATGAGGTTTTGCCGCCGGCTCTTACCAACTGACGGCCCGATGATCGAGCGCTGACTTGAGTTTACCCCAACAGGATGAGCTTCGCGCTTTCTTCATAGGGCGCTAACGCTTAGAAAAGATCAGCGATCGATTTTCCAGAGATCACAAGGATTGACTGACAATTCCAACGAGAAGTGCGCGCGTGGTAGGATGGATCAATCAATCAGCTGTGCAGACGGTAACGTGTGCCGCATGCATGTGCTTTGACGATTCCGTCGGTTAAGGTTTAATCCGCGGAAGCTTGCCGCGCGTCGCGAAGGGAAGGACGATGGAAGTCTGAGGCGAGTCGGTCCAACACGACTGAGTGAATATTTTGAGAGTCTCGATACGGAGGAAAGCGTTCTCTCGGACGGCCTTCGAAAGGCTGGACGGCTGCTGTTCCGGCTTCGGTTGAGAGGATTCCATCCGTGGCTCGCGAGAGGCGCGAATCGAGTTCGCCCGGAGCGGCGCACGAAGTCCAGCCAGATTCCCTGGCTGAGTTCTCTGGTTGGATTCCCTGATCATCCTGATGCTGAGTCTTGTGGCCCTTGACATCCCAACCCTATCGATTGCTTGTTTATGAGAGACAAGCCATTCTCGGATCGCCTCCACTTTCCGAGATCGACGAGTCTCTCACCTCGCTCAGAAAATCGATCGACTCTCGTCCCGAGAATAAGACTTCTGGAAGAGTCGAAATAGAATATAGGGGTGTCCGCTATGAAGTGGATCACGCTTGAAAGCTCACTCCGGATAGGATACTGTGAGCTAGCATCTGAGTTTTCGTCAGAGCGCACCCATTTGGCACCTCTCATGAGCTCGTATCCTAGCACACCCCTAGATCCACGACAGATTGGATTCAATTTTCAATTGACAATCAGTGGGGCTCGACTTCCGACGCGGCTTTTTAGCCGGGAATCCGTGGCATTTCCAGGTCCCCATCGACTTTCTTTGGAGAAACGCCAGGCAATGCAACGAAAGATCGCGGTAACAAAACGCGACGGAAGTCGAGCCCTAATAATTCGATATCATTCCTCCGAGATTCCTGTCCCCGATCCTATCAGGAGATCATGAGGATCAAGAGGATACACATGAGTATCGAAATCGGAAACAATTGAACAATGATGTCTCGATTGCAATTTTCGGCGCGCGGGATGGAAATCCAGATACTTACTTCTCAATGGTCGCTCACTGATCCTTATGAAGTCCCCTCTCGGAGCGCCATCGTGAGTCGCGGTCTCCCAGTATCCGAAAGGGTGCCGCAGACCTTCGAGAACGGGTTCCCTTACCCCTGGAGTACCGCGGCAATCCCCGAGCGGACGGCTCCTTGATACGAGAGGTACTCGCATTTCCGTGAGGGGCTGGAGGGGACCGAGCTGATCCCGACGGAGGAGGCGGGGAGTATTCCTCCGAAAACACTAACTAAGACAAGCGGACGATTGCCGGCTTCTGCTGGAGTTCTAATGACGATCGGAGGGGACTGTGTTGCTCAGATAGGTTTGATCCTGAGAACTTGGCCTGACAGGTCTTGTTTCAAATGCATGCGCCTTCCTGAATGATATCTATATCGGGGTGAAATGGCATTCTTGATTTCGCGCTGAAACCGCCCTCCACCCTGGGTAGCAGGAGCGTACCCAGGGGGCGGCGAGGGGGCCAGGACTCCTCCAAGAATTTTCGGTTCCGATACCCAAGCCTGGGCCGCGAGAAGGCGCGTCATCGATTCCAGTTCGAGCCCACCTTCCCCGGATCCGACTTGCCTTCCCCCGCTTCCCCCGCAAAGAAAGCTGGACACGAGCCTATGGGGTGGTGCTGAGGATCAGTCGAGAGTTGAACTCCCCACGATACAGAGTTGGCCCCAGACTCTCAGGGCTAACTCCTCATAATTTTCCGTCAGAGAGTTTTCCGTTACCACGTAATCCTTCTTCGGAATAATTGTCGTGAACAATCTCGGGGGACTATTGAAGTTGCGGGGAAATGCAGTCATCGCTTATTGTAGCTCCATCTTACGGGCAGGTAGACTCGAGCGGCAGTTTTTGCTCGCTCGCGTCTTCCATGCAGATCTAATCATAAGATTGATCTTCTCACCTCGAGTATGCCGCTTAATGGAACGACATACAGACACCCACACGGATAGACGAAGAGCCGATGTGCGGGGCGATGTTTTCGCGTCGCTAGGTGAACGCGTCGTTGGGGTGGAATAGATTCTCACAATAAATGGAGGGAAGAGCTTAGCGAACGAAGACCCCAAGGAACTCGGCAGGAGATCAGCTATGCCAAAAATGCATACAGCTCCGTGCTCATATTTCCTGTACATTCGTACCATCAGGAGGAGCAGGAGCAGCGATGGCGCGATGCTTTCATTAAAAAGCAATATGTCATCCCTGACAAACTATGGCGCCGAGTCTTCCCAAAACTTTCCCACAAGGGCGGATTTCCCAAGGAAGAACATCGGCATTCAGTCACGGAGCACTGTAGAAATTTCTCCTTCCCTCCGGTCATGGCTCGCCGGCTTCCAGTTCAGCCGGCTTGCATTCCGAAGAGCCGTCGAAACCTTGAGACGCTTGCGTGATACTTGTGGAAATGTGGACTCTCAACGATGCAGCTTTTGTGTCTCTCCTTCTTTCTGCTCGGACTCCAGCTCGGAGAGCTCTTTGACAAAGTTTCTCTTCTCCGGATCGTTGTCACGTATCCCCGCCATCAATGGCCCAGCACCGAATTCCGATTACACAAAAGGCTACGAGAGTTGAATCCTCAAATCGCTCGCGAGAACCGAAACAATCTCCCTTTGTCAACGATATATCCGCCGCTGCCGCCTTTCTCCCTGTGTATCGAACTGCAGCCAACATCATTTCCCGATAGTTTGTCCCTTGTCCCTGATGCACTCGGCGCTGCTGCTCGCGCTCGCGTCTGCTCGAAAAATGGAGGAATCACTGGAGAAGGAGTTGACGAGCAAGTGACCGTAGAGGCAGACACGGAATCGAGGAAAGGTCTCGTTGTTATTTTGAGTACATAACTTTTACTTTCCCTGGGTGGAAGAAGTCCACGGAATCGCCTACTCGATCGAGGGACGAACGCTCTCTGGTACACCAGTACTGTCCAGCCCTCCATTCCCCTTCCACCGGCTTCATCCTCGATCGCCCGGCGGTCTGTACGGCCATACTCGTATTCGAACCCCACACGGAAATCGAAAATGCCGGCAGAGCTTCCCAAGGGGGCAGGCTCAGGGTCGAGGGCTGAGCCTTCCGGATTCGGTGCATGAAATAATTGGTGACCGGTCGCGCCTCCAGTCTGGACGAAAACGATGAAAAATCCCTGTTGTATGTAGTTAGCGTCGACACTGGATAAATTCCTCTGCTTCCCGCTCTAATCCTCGTACCGAATCAGAGTTGCTCATGTTCCTTTTCTGAACGGACCCACAGCTCAGCCACCAAATCTAGAGCAATTGCTGAGGGAAGTACAAAACGTGGACTGGTTTAGCTCTCCCACCGGGGCCAGTTCATCAGTACTTTCGATGCACGGAAGCTGGGGCTCCTGACGGCGTATGCAAATAATTGGAGGGAGCCGGCTCAGCCCTAGCGTCTCGTAAGACAATTAAAAGATTCCAAGATTCGAGGAGACGCTCCTCGAGCAGAATCCAATGGACTATCCCTAATTGGCTCAAAATGATAAGATCATCCCGAGAGTCGAAGATTGCGGGGAACTCGTGGCATAATTCATCGATTGAAGCCGCTGAAAGAAGAGGATCCCGACGCTTTTAGCGGAAGAAGGAAATTAGGTGGGGAAGCAGGGGAGACGAAACCTTCAACCCAGTCACGTAACGTTGCTCACTCCTAGCGTGGACTAAATCTTCATCTCGTTTCTGAGCAGGTGACAATCTGCGACGAGTGGAGCGCGGAGCTAGGGATTGTGCCCCGTATTGATGGTCTCCACATCAATGTCGAGACATTTTCGGGGCAATGGACGAAGATCTCCGAGTGGCTCGAAGGATTCTGAGACTCCTCCACGACACTTCTGTGGGTCCGAGATATCTTCCTCCCGGGGGATATGCGCATTCAATGAGCAAGGTCCCCACGTCGCTCATCGAATTGGATAAATTTATAAATATTGGCTCAGGCAAGAATCTCCGCGGAGGGAAGCCAATGCTTAGTTGACACGGTACGATATATCGATCAACCAGATGATCAATGATGAGGTGAGCACCAGCAGTGTCCGAAGTCCCCATCCCGTTTCACGTCGTTGAGGTCCTTGAAGTTCATCGGAGCCGTTCCACCACGATCCTCGACTGATAACAGACTCGTGCGGCTAGAGTCTGGGGGGCAATGAACCTTCCCTTCCAGAATTATCCGATCATACTCGAGGTCCGGAGTCCCCAAAAGCTATTCGGGGCTCAGATGGAAGCCTAGATGGTGATATGTATTAATTTACAATACAATTGAACATATGTCAAGGAGAACCCGCACTCAAAGTCAGTAATCGAACTTTAATTACATTGATACTCATATATCACGAGTACTGGCGCGGAGACCGAACGATATTCCAGTCAGTCGATTTGGGTAGAGAAGATCATTCCATTCATCAGTACTATATCTTTCTAGACACGTCGAAATATCAACTCCCACCGAGCTGTATCGTTTATCTCAACACGATATCAATCATTTTTTGACATCTACGGTGAAGCGCGACAGTTTGAGTCAGTCCGCGAAAAGGAAAGGTTGGCTCCGAGATACGGTTCGATTCCCGTCGGAGCGAAACGGTCGGAATCTCATCCTGGGTATAATTTTTAAACTTTATTGCACTACGCTCAGATTCATCCCTTTCGAAGATAGCAACGAACATTTCTGCTCAGGCGGGTCTCTCGATAGAGTGAACCGAGTTCGGTAGACGAGACACTTGAATTCGGCCGGGCGTAGGTCGCTCTCAGGAAGTACACTCGCGACCCGAAGCTGAAATTACATGACCAATTTTAAGCCTTCTCCGGTCGCCTCGGGGAAGGGATTCGGGTCGTCGTCGCCGCCCAGCATCCGGGAGGGGTTCCGAGCTGCTTGCTATTTGCCAGGCAATAGTTGAAAGTCATGAGTGCGAGGTGCTGACTAGACATGTCCACTTCCGTTCCATTCTTCACTCAAACAGACACGTGAAGGGGCAGTGATTAATTTCGCGTGGGACTCTCCGGCGTCAATCGTTC